CTGTGTTATCTTGTACTTTGTATTGAAAGGTCGGTTCTTGTTCTGGTCTGCACGTTACAGTATGCAACAGGTACACACCTACCTGAGTGTTTTTCGACTGCTCTAAGTGTCCTCGGCCTCTTTCCCTGCCACTTGAGTGTTTTCCCCCGCTGCAACCCTCAATGTCACGGGCACAGGTAAGTACTGGCCCTACGGGCCACCCAAACAAGCAAGTATTCTTGCGGGTCACACACACACTCAGGCCGACCATCACTCAGACAGGCACGCAGACCATCAAGCACGCACACACACACACACAGAATTAGAAAAGTCATCAGAATGTGGGAATCTCAGCAAGGCATCAATCCCAGCGGTAGAACTCAGAAATCAGCAGTGTGCTCAATCTGTGTTTTGGCGGGTCATTACACTACCCCTCCCTCTAGAGCGAGGTCCCTTCGAGTGAGTAACTCACTCGGAGTCCCTGCGCAATGCATCATATGCGTAGATGACTAAGAGTGCTTGGGTATGTTTCGTGGGAGTGAGGGAATAAATTTTGGTTGCTGTTCAGAGATAATCAGTCGTTCATATGCTTTGACGACTCGTGGTGCACTTTGCAGCAGATCTTTCCTAGAAATCCAGTAAAAATTATCTAACGTGTGATACAGAAAATGAATATTGCCTGTTCTTCCCCTTTCCACTGTGCTGGACAATTCTATCAATCTCGTGACCGCCATTATTTGCACGGGGGATCATCGAAACAACTTTGATGTGTGGAAGACTGGGTACGTGCGCAAATGAGAAGGCACGTCGATCGTGTAAGAAGGACCGGATGAATTATTCCCCATCTGGTTCAGCACCTTCCACGAAATGTAATACTGAGGAAGAAGTTTTTGCAACACACCTTCTTCTTCATAAAACTCTGACATTGTGAAAGGTTCAGGCTGACACTTCTTGTTAGCATGTTTAATCATGGCACTACGTCACCTCTCCATAGCTGCAACATCAACGTTGAGCAAGCTATCAAACTTAGCGCGATAGCCATGCTGGCCAGGTGTTAGACCAGGTACCGGATCGGGAAACAAATAGGATAGGGGATTGTGAATCTGCCACTCGAGGTGCAACCGATTAGGTGTCATCCCGGCGGACGAGTATATGGAGTTGTTGTACAACCCCTGCACAATCGGTAATTCCTCATCCCAAGAGTTTTGATTAGGCACAATTAGAGCGCGGAGAAGTTGGATCATGGTTTGGTTGATCTCGCCAGCCAAATCAAATGGTAATCTTTCACATTTTGCTAAGGATGCTATAAAAAAAGTAATAAAACCAACTGGCTGACGCCATATATTCCAGCTGAAAATCCCATATTGACACTGTTGTTCAACAATCTCAGAAGTACTCAAAGTATTACATAATTATAGTTGATAAAAAGATATAATTTTTATCTCTACTACAGAACTGTACATGAAACTTTTATCTCATACGGCTCCTTAATAACTACATCTTGAGTTTCGGGATGTCATCCCGATGTCATCTTGAGTTTGATGTCATAGATTTGGAGGTGAAGTCCTTCCAATCTGCACTTATGAACCTAGTGTCTCGGTCACTCAGAAGAGTCTTTGGGGCCCCATACTGCAGAATGTACCTCTTGTTAAATTCCTCGATCACAAGGTTAGTTGGGGCGTGAGGTGGCAATGAAATCAAATTCAGAATTTTTGAAAAACGGTCAACGATCACCATCGCTTGCGAATATCTGTTTCTGCTCTTATTTCCCATGCCCGCGAAGTCAATGAGACAGACTCACCAGGATCATCAAGGATAGGAAGAGGATGCCACAACCCAAAGGGTTTTTGCCGAGAAGGTTTGATGCGTTGACAAACTTGACACTCAACCACAAACTTTCATACCATTCCTTTCATCGCAGGCCACACAAACTTTTCTAATAGGCTTCCGCATGTCTTCTCAAAACCGAAGTGTCAACGCCGGTCATGAGCCAAGTCCAAGAAATGAGTACGAATAGGCTGATGGTTGGGCACACACAATCGGTCGTACTTTTCGTAACATCGGAAGAGCAAACCTTCGCACCCGTGGAAATCAGGCTGACTACTAGGGTCAGCTTTTATCCGCTCAAGGATGGGAACGAGTTTTGTATCCTTGGAAGTTTGCTCAACTAGTTCCTCCTTCAGTTTCTTCTGGAGGTCGTAGGAGCTCACAAGGCAAGTCATGTACTCAGGGTGGCGAGACAAAGCATCCACAACGCGATTGTAACAACCTTTTTTGTGTTTGAGTTGACAATCATACACATTAACCTCATGCAGCCAGTGGGTCAGTGTACTTGATGGATTAATTTGTGTCTTGATCCATTTCAAAGTCTTTGGGTCTGAGAACACTTTGAAATGACGACCCAATAGGTAGTGTTTCCAGTGATCTAGTGCCTGTCTCAAGGCATACAGTTCTCTCATGTAGGTGGAGGTAGCTACTTT